AAGGAACCCGGTGCCCCAGGTGCTGCTGGCTTACCCAGTGTCGCAGGTGAAGTTCACAGTGGAGCCAAAGGTGAAGGATGCAGGCAGCACCAGCCTGCCATTGTTCGGCTCCCCGGGGAAGGTGCACGGCCTGGCTGTGAACAGCAGGGCTCTGCTCAGCTCCCTGATCAGCTGCTCAGCAGGAAAAACAAGGATTCCCCCCAAACTGAGCCAGGGATGGATCACAGAGCCCCAGATTTACCCTACAGGAAAGCCAAGGATTCCCAGAACTGAGCAAGGGGGTGGATCAGAGAGTCCCAGATTTACCCTACAGGAAAACCAAAGATCCATTCCCACAAACTGAGCCAGGGATGCATCAGAAAGCTTCAGATCTCTCTCCAGGAAAACAAAAAATCCCCCCAAACCGAGCCAGGGATGGATCAGAGAGCCCAAGATCTCCCTCCAGGAAAACCAAGGATTCCCCGAAAATGAGGCAGGGATGGATCAGAGAGCCCAAATATCCCCTTCAGGAAACCCCAGGATTCCCCCAAAATGAGCCAGGGGTGGATCACAGAGCCCCAGATTTACCCTACAGGAAAACCAAGGATTTATTCCCTCAAAATGAGCCAGGGAAGGATCAGAGAACCCCAGATCTCGCTCCAGGAAAACCAAGCATTTATTCCTCCAAACCGAGCCAGGGATGGATCAGAGAGCCCCAAATATCCCCTCCAGGAAAGTCAAGGATTTATTCCCCCAAAATGAGCCAGGAGTGGATCACAGAGACCCAGATTTACCCTACAGGAAACCCAAGGATGCCCCCAAACTGAGCCAGGGATGGATCAGAGAGCCCCAGATTTACCCTACAGGAAAACCAAGGATTCATTCCCCCAAAATGAGCCAGGGATGGATCAGAGAGCTCCAAATCTCTCTCCAGGAAAGCCAAAAATTCCCCCAAAATGAGCCAGGGATGGATCACAGAGCCCCAGATCTTCCTCCAGGAAAACCAAAAATTTCTGCAAACTGAGCCAGGGATGGATCAGAGAGCCCCAGATCTCCCCTATGGAAAGCCAAGGATTCATTCCCCCAAACTGAGCCAGGGATGGATCAGAGAGCTCCAGATCTGCCCTCCAGGAAAGACAAGGATTCATTCCCACAAACTGAGCCAGGGATGC